AGACTTTCCCGTGTTACTGTGTACAAAATAATTTCTGATTTTGAATTGAGTGATTTTTATCCAAAATACACTTCTGGAAAAAAAAACAGTATCGGCCGAAGCACACATGCTGATGTTTCTATGGAAATTTACAAAATTTATTTTATAAATTCTAAATATACAGGGGTGGTCAAATTGGAGATAGATCTCTCCATGACCCTTTTTACAATATTTATAATAACTTATATTTAGGTATAAAATGATAACTATATATTATATTTTTAATGATCTATTATACCACCATAATAATTTGACTACCACTGCAAATATACATACATATAGTATCGGTTCTTTGTATTGTTTTATTAATTTGGTTATTTTTATATAAGGTTTGCTGGAAATAAAACCTTTATTAGAATAACAGCTCAGGTGTTTAATTGTAGTGGATCTAAATGTTTTCATGTAATTGAAAGAGTAATGGATTTTTTATTAAATATTATGCCTGATATTATTAAAATGCCCAATACAAATGAGAAAAAAGAAGAAACATCCAATGAATTTAAAAAGGTACCTATATTGGTTATGAATAACTAATTAATTAATGTTACCTAATAACAATAATGTTCCAGTAGATATAATTTTATATTTAAAAAAAAATAATAGGTATTACTATACACTTAAAATTATAGTTTGAAGAAAACCAACAAGTGGGCAAATGTGTACTGCTCTGCTGTAAATTAGGTGTGGCGTGGGTCACTGTAATAGTATAATGGAAATGTTTAATTTTAATTCAATCTGTTCTAATTTATCTTATATTAAAGCTAACTTATTCCCCCTACTCGTTATAACTGATTAACGTTATTATTATTTTCCTACTCACCAAATTCTTGAATTTTTCAAAATTTAGATTTTTTTCATTCCTATTACTATACTTAACCAATTAAAAATTAAAAATGTACAACTGTATAAATTATTAAAATATTATTTAAATTATACCATTGCTATAAATAGTATTCATAATCAATGATTATACCTATTTTATTATTTTAACTTGCGGTGAGATATGAACACTTCCAAAATACGGTAAATTGTATTTCTTTCAATGTCAACATATTTTGTTTTCCATGATTACACTTCATTGTATTCGATTTATTAAAAACTAGGGCAACACTCGCGTAGTGCTAGTGGAAGTTCTGTGCACACTATTTTGTCAAATCGAAAACGCTATGACAAAATCGGCGGTGCAGAAAGTGCACACTGAGTGCACACAAATGTTGAACTGCAATCAAATCGAATACAAAACACTCCACCAGTTCACAGAATATTGGTCAAATCGAATATGTTTTTGGACTGAGTGCAAAAAGTGCGTCAAATCGAACTTATAAATTAAGTGAACGACCCAATTAACGCATTCGTTTTTTAAAAGAACGTGAATACGTTACCCTACGGAAGCCTATTACTTTCGCTCGGCTGTCCGTCCGTCTGTCGCCAGGCTGTATCTCCTGAACCATGAAAGTTAGAAAGTTGAAATTTTCACAGATTATGTATTTCCGTGGGTACTATAACAACAAATACTAAAAAAAAGGGATAGGAGCAATCCCTGGGGGTGCTAAAACGGGAATTTTGAGATTTCAGATGGAAATTTGTTAATATTTGTTAATATTTGTCGTATTGTTAATAAATGGTTGCCATGTGACAGAGTGACATCGTATACAAAGATGAAATTCAGATAACAGATATATTCGTATATTCGACATCACCAAGACTGCTATTCGTAGTAGGTACAACTGTTACACTTTACACTTGATATCCGACTGTTTACAGTCAAGCGAAAGTTGATTTTAACGCGATAGCGTTAATACTAATAAAATAAGTACCTATACATTGAGAAGGTAATTTTATAAATTAAAAATTAATAAATAATAGTAATTTAATAGTTTTTAATAGTTGTATAGTAATTTTTTTATTTACGTAAATAAATAAATTTAAGAGATGAAAATATTGAATGGCCTGGAGGAAATTTATTAACCTGGCCTGAATTTTTTTCCCACCCTGCAAATGACAACAGACATAATTTTAGATATTGGTACGGAACCCTTCGTGCGCGAGTCCAACTCGCACTTGGCCGGCTGTTTTTTTTTAGTGAACGTTGATATTTATCTTAATAACTAATACAACTAATTACAAATATAGATATTCCCCTAACCGAACTATAATTTAGGTACAACGGATAACAGTTTTCTGGTACCTAGTTAGCTTATAAGACAAATACACATAAAATAATATGAGTGTTGTAAAGAAGAGGAGTTAGATAATGGGTTTAAAAACTATGAGATAAATTGATAAAGGACACATTTATGAAAAATATTTGATTTATAATACACAATAAAATAGACTTATAATTTAAAAAACATCACATTTGTTATAACTTAAATTTAAAAACATTGCAGGAATGTTGAGGTTTAAAATAATTTGTGCGATAATATGAAAACGAATCTATTACATAAAATGGAGTTGAGATTTTGATTATGTACAACAGATTTTAAATGAGGGTCTGTGACATTATACAGAATCTCATAAAGAGCACACAAATGTATACTTAGTTTAAGTAAATGTAATTCATCCATGACTGAATAAATTTAATTTATTATTGAGCGTTAATACTTTTATACATATAAAAATAAAGAGAAATATGAGT